AGGTAGATTCTTAGCGGGTCCTAAAGCAGATTACGTGAGGATTATTATCAACTGCCCAACTTTAAAGTCTGACTGTTTTTGGAGGGAATTGCAAAATAACTTCGAAAAACACACTGCAAAATATTTCTCTTTTTTGGTTGCATATCATATCACCAATATCTATATATCACGAAGTTTGCCGATTACATTAATGAACCAGTTTCCTGACTGGTTTGATTGTGAATTTTATGAAAATTGTAGGATATAGTAGATTTCGTACAACTGCATGCATGGAGTTACAAAAGGTAAAAAAAAAAAAATGTTTCTCCATTAATTCCACTATTGATCACATCACGTCTCTATAAATACCTATGACTTGCTATCCTCTTTGCTCATCACCCTCAACTCGCAGCAATTTCTCTGAGTTTCTGCTTTTAATTAATTAGCCTCCACCACGAATCATGAAACTTAACTACACCATTGTCGCCTCCGGTCCTGGGGCTGAACGCCTCATCATGGCGGGCCAATTTGTCGGTTCTAAAGAACCCCTTCCTTCTTCCACAGGTGCTTTACACACACACACACACACTCTCAAACTCTTAAGTCCTTATAATTATATTTCTATTCCTCTTTGCCATTATGAATCGAATTCACTGTGAATCTAATTGTAGGCGACGATGTTGCAAAGAAAAGAGCATACGTTGCAGATCAGAAGTACATGCAGAAGTATGAAAGCCATGCTCGGAAAGATGGTCCCAGCAAAATGTCGGCCTCCTTGGGTACCCAACAATATTCACACGACTTTACTTACGACGACTGGTCCGAGGATAAAGGAATTCCAGAAGCATTTGATTTTTTGCTTCTTGATTATAAGATATTCCTTGTGAGCCTCACTGTTCATCCCATTCCTAATCTTACGAACGAGCCTCTTCATTTCATCTGCAACACTTGGGTTTACCCATACATCCCCAATACACAACTCCCTCGCATCTTCTTCATCAACAAGGTAAGTCCCTACCTACATATCCTTCCTGCAGGTTCGCTTATATATATCCCTTTAACTTGGAACAATTCATATATATTGATTCAGTGACTCCTTTAATATTTCAGTCATACCTGCCTAGCCAAACACCGGGACTAGTGGGTGCATTCCGAAAAGAAGAGCTGAAATTTTTAAGAGGAGATACAGATGAAATTCAAGGTGATGGAGTTCGCTAAGAACGGGATAGAATCTATGATTATGCTACCTACAATGACTTGGGCGATGTTGATGCAAGTCCAGATCTTGCTCGTCCAACTCTTGGAGGATCCACTCAGTATCCCTACCCCCGTAGGCTCAGAACTGGAAGGGCCCCATCAAAAAATGGTGAGACTTCAAGGGAACAATTATATAGATATAGGTCCGAAGAGATCAATTTGATCACAGTTAGCTCTCTGATAAATATTTCTTAAAAGTAAGTTGCAAATTCTGGAATCAATTGCAGATAAAGTACTCAAGTTTCAATTGCATATAAAATAGTTAATCTTTTATGACTTAATTATTATTCTCCCTTGTATAAGTTTTTTTTAATTGGGAATTCAAGTATGAGTAGAATTAACGTAACGGGGAGAAAAGTAAGAAAGTCTTGCATTAGATAAAGTAGGGCGTGAAAAGGTCCACATTTGGATTATCCCCCTTTTAATGGTACTCCCACCTCAGTGTTTTTATTATTATATTAACTATATCTAGCTATTAGATGTAATTAATTATGACTTTTTACTCATATTAAGTAAATCTGTGAAAGCAGATCCCAGCACTGAGAGCAGACTCCCTCCAGACCAAGCCTTTTCGATCTATGTTCCAAAAGATGATCGATTTGGAGACCAGAAGCTGTTCGAGTTTGTGCAATATTTTCCCAAATCATCGATGAACCTTATGAAACAATATGTATCAGCGGAATTGGAGAAATCAGGAAAAGAATTTGAAAGCTTTGAACAGGTGCTTAAAGTACTGTACAAAGATGGTTTTACATTTAATGTGCCTATAGAGGTACTTAAGGCCATTGCTGAGAAGCTACCTTTACCAACGCCCCCAGAAAATGGCGACCTGAAATTACTGCTTCCAATTCCTGGTGTCATTCAAGGTGCCTATATTTATCTATCTAATTAAGCTCTCATTTCTTAGCATTCAATAATATTTTCCCAAAGAAATCTTATAAATTAAATATTTATTATTTGGAACAGATAATCTGGATGGATGGATGACGGATGAAGAATTTGCACGAGAGATGCTTGCTGGTGTGAATCCGCTTTTAATCTGCCTCCTTCAAGTAAGAAAAAGCGATTAAATTCAAACATAAATATATTTGGTGTTTAAATTTCTCTTGTTGCATGCCATTGGTTATATGATTAAGGAAAAAACTTGGGTCAAGTTTCTTATATCCATTATATCAAGTTCTTCAATCATACATGTTCTTTTTGGTTTCATGAAATAATTAAATGCTACTAAATCGTAATATTTCAAAAATAAGATACATAGTCATGCGTAATTGGAAAACTTGACATAATAGATATAAGTAACTTGATATAAGTATCATCCTACAATTAACTCATCATTTGAAAGATATAAGTGCTAATTTAATCTCTTCTCTTAATTATGCTCTCATAATTTTCTTAAATTGATTGCAGGAGTTCCCCATAAAGAGCACACTAGATTTTAAACTCTATGGTGATCATACATCTAGCCTAACAAGAGAACACTTGGAGAAGAACATGAAAGGACTCACACTTTATGAGGTGAATTTAGAAATGCAATTCTGTCTTCTTATAAAAAGTCGATCACATGTATATATATTGCATCGCAGTTAAACTTTAGTATTTATTTATATACGAAAGAATACCGTTTAAGCTCTAATGGTGCATGCAGGCACTGAGTTCCAAGAGATTGTTCATATTAAATCACTACGATGCATTTATGCCATACTTGAGGAAGATAAACGAGACTTCCAGAGAGGCTTATGCGAGTAGGACAATCCTTTTCCTCCAGAATGATGGGACTGTGAAGCCACTTGCCATTGAGCTGAGTTTGCCTCACCCTGATGGAGATCAGTTTGGTGCTGTCAGCAAAGTGTATGTGCCTGAAACTGAAGGTGCTGAGGGTACCATTTGGCAATTGGCTAAAGCTTATGTAGTTGTCAATGACACAGGCTATCATCAACTAATCAGTCACTGGTAAACTGTATTTCTACCCTTAGCAGTTATATATTGAATTACAAGATACGCAAATCATGAAGTCATCTACAATACAGTGATTAATATTTTTATTCTTCTTTTCTATTTTTGGTTTCTCAGGCTGAATACTCATGCTGTGATGGAGCCGTTTGTTATTGCAACATATAGGCAACTCAGTCAACTGCACCCTATTTTTAAACTTCTTCATCCTCATCATCGTGACACCTTGTTTATCAATGCACTCGGTCGCCAAAACTTAATCTCTGCAGGTGGACTTATAGAGGACTCATTTTTTCCTGGAAAATATTCCATGGAGATGTCATCTGTGGTTTACAAGAGTTGGAATTTCCTTGACCAAGCCTTACCTGCTGATCTCATCAAGAGGTAAACTATATAATATTATTTTAAAAGAAAAAAAGCATATAATCCTTAAGTTGATAACTTACTAACAATTATTGGAAAAAATTTCAGAGGAATGGCAGTAGAGGATCCAACTGCTCCTCATGGCCTTCGCCTTCTGATACAGGACTACCCTTATGCTGTAGATGGACTACTGATATGGGATGCTATTAATACCTGGGTTCATGATTATGTCTCTTGTTACGATGAATCAGATGAGATCATTAAGCAAGATCCTGAGCTACAATCATGGTGGAAAGAACTGGTAGAAGTAGGCCATGGAGACCTAAAAGACAAGGACTGGTGGCCTAAGATGCAGACTCGTCAAGAGCTAATTCAGTGCTGCACTATTATCATATGGATAGCTTCAGCTCTACATGCAACTGTGAATTTTGGGCAGTACCCTTATGGAGGTTATATTCTAAACCGTCCTACTCTCAGCAGAAGGTTGATGCCCAAGAAAGGAACTCAAGAATATGCAGAGATGGTGAAGAATCCACAGCTGGCTTTCTTAAAAACAATCACACCAAAGCTTGAGACTCTTCTTTGTCTTTCAACTATAGAGATAGTATCAAGCCATACCACTGATGAGGTTTATCTTGGAACTAATACTATCCCTTACTGGACATCTGATACTAAAGTGTTAGAGGCTTTTAAGAAATTTGGAGACAGCCCGAAAGAGATTGAGAAAGCATTGAAAAGGAGGAACAAAGATGGGACTCTGAAAAATAGGGTTGGGCCAGTGATGATGCCTTATACTCTTCTCTATCCTAGCAGTGAACCTGGGCTCACTGGAAGAGGAATCCCAAATAGTATCTCTATGTGAAAAGTTTCTTGGGCTTCATTTAAGTATGTACGGAACTAGGGACGTTCTAGTTAGGTTATTGCTGTTTGTTTTAAGCGTTGTTGTTTGCCAAAAATAAAAGGGCCCATCTGTGTATTTGGCTCTTGTAATGTGAGTGTTGTTGTTTGTTTAAAATAAAAGGAGTCATTGCATTTTGCCCTTGTACCGTTTTCTAATTGGATTCTCTCCTTCTCCTTTCTCTTATTTTCTTCTTCTCATCCTGTCTCTTTCATTAGATAACAAATTGAATTGAATGGTTGATATTTAATATCTTAAAAACTATTGTTATAATACTACATAAAATTAAATAAATTTATAATGTTAAAATTAGACAACAGGACACAATTATAGACTATTTGAAATAGAAAGAAAATATTCGAAAGGTCTTTTATGGTTTAATTATTATAAGTAATTTTAATTTATTTAAAACCATCAATTATACTTATTCCTTTTAAGAGATTATACTTGAGAAAGAGTTGAAAATAAGGGTGAATTATAGATAGTGTAAGGACCACCAAAGAACCAGCTTATGAAGCTAGACACATATTTCCTCATTCATTATGCAAAATTTAAAAAATGAAATATTTTATTCAGGACTTGAATGAAGCTGCCATATAAAAAACCAGATTGTACTAATTGGATCACAAGTCCAACAACCAATGGTTTTTTTCATCATGACAAAACGTTAATTGCAGAAGCCTAACATAAAGAACTCCTCTTATTTTGTACGAATTAAACAGACATGTGATGATCAAATTAATCGAATTTCTCATATGGAGATACTGTTGGGGATTCCCTTCCCTGTCATTCCCGGTTCACTAGAAGGATAAAGCAGAGTGTATGGCATGTTCACAGGCCCAACCCGGTTCAACAACTTGGGATCTTTGTTCCTCTTTAATATTGTTTCCTCTATCTCTTTCAGCTTCTTTCCGAATGTTTTGAAAGCCTCCAAAGCCTTTTTGTCAGATGTCCAAGTGGGATTGGTCGTTGTTCCCAAATAGACTTCATCACTGGTATGCCCTGACAAAATCTCTATAATTGAGAGATCAAGAAGAGTCTCAAACTTTGGTGTAATTGTTTTCAAGAAGCTTGATTCTGGGTTGGTCACAAGCTCTTCATATTCTGAAGTTCCTTCTTCAGGTATCAACCTTCTGCTAAGAGTTGGACGATTCAGAATATAACCCCCATAAGGAAATTGTCCAAAGTTAACAGCTGCATGAAGAGCTGAGGCAATCCATATGATAATGGTGCAAGATTCAATAAGCTCTTTACGATTTTCCATCTTAGGCCACCATGGCTTATCCTTTAAGTCAGCATGACCCACTTGGACTACCTCTTTCCACCAAGCTTGTAGCTCAGTGTCTTGCTTTATAGCCTTATCTGTCTTGTAATATAAAGATATGTAGTCACAGACCCATTTGTTAATAGCATCCCATATTAGTAGTCCATCAACAGCATAAGGGTAATCTTTTATCACAACGCGAAGCCCATGAGGTGAATCTTTATCCACAGTTGCCAATCCTCTGGAGCATTTAAATTTAAATGGAGTGTTATAACAAGACAATCATATTGTTATGAAATAACATGTTAAAGTGCAAAGTGTATTTCATTTGATTAGTCAATATATTTAAATATACCTCTTGATGAGATCAGCAGGCAAGGCTTGCTCAAGGAAATTCCAATTCTTGTAAACCGCAGATGACATCTCCATGGAATACTTTGCAGGCAAGAACGAGGTCTCTATGACTCCTTCTCCAGAGATTAAGTTTTGGCGAGCAAGTCCATTGATAAACAAGGTGTCATGAAAATGAGGATGAAGAAGTTTGTGAATAGGGTGAAGTGCACTGAGTTGCCTATGTGTTGCAATAACAAATGGCTCCATCGCAGCATGAGTATTTAGCCTGTGAAGCCCAAAAAAAAAAAAAAAAAGATAATAATCACTGTAGATGATTTCATAATTTGTATATTACAGATTTGACTTTATGCATTAAAAAAAAGAAAAAAACAGTTTACCAGTGACTAACAAGTTGATGATAGCCTGAATCATTTACAATTACATAAGCTTTAGCCAATTGCCAAAGGGTACCCTTAACACATTCAGTTTCAGGCAGATACACTTTGCTGATAGCACCAAATTGATCTCCATCAGGGTGAGGTAAACTCAGCTCAATAGCAAGTGGCTTCAAGGTCCCATCATTTTGAAGGAAAAGGATTGTCCTACTGGCATAAGCCTTTCGGGTGGAACTTTCATTTATCTTCCTCAAATATGGCATGAATGCATCATAGTGATCTAATATGAATAATCTCTTGCAATTAAGTGCCTATGCAACACATATACAATGTAATTCAATCAGTTAGTATCATAGTCTTGGTTCATAAGTGTTACGTAATTTGTATAATTATATATATGAGACTTTCTATATAAAATTTTTATGCAGAAGACAAAATGGCTTTATTCTTTACCTCTTGTGTTGTGCATCCTTTCATGTTTTTCTCCAGGTGTTCACTTGTTATCTTACTGGAATGATCACCATAGATATTGCAATCTAGCGTGCATTCCATGGGGAATTCCTGCAAATGATTTTAAGAAAAATGTGAGGTTACTAATCAAGAACACAAATTGATGCTAGCATTTTTCAAATGATCCAGTTAAAATCAATCACAGCTAAATAGCAAATCTAACACGAAAAGGTAAAATTTGTATATTTGAGCAAGTTGCCTTACTGTGAGAAGGCGGATTAAACCAGGATTCACACCAGCAAGCATTTCTCTTGCAAATTCTTCATCAGTCATCCATCCATCTAAATTATCTGCTCCATCCACATGCATTATAGGTTTAATTGTTAGAATTAATCCAGAAGAAAATTTCAATTATATTGTTAGAATTAATCGGCAATAAATTCTTTCAAACTATGTTGAAAAATTTAGGGAATATGTAGGTATATTAGGATTCATATGTTCTTTTTGTTCTTTGATGTTTTGGTCAACGATTCATATGTTCCAACTAAGCCTCATATTTATGGCTGATAATGACACTAATTAAAATAAATAAAAGGAGAAGAAGTCAACTTCTAAATCTCTCTTTATGACTGGGTCACAGTTTTGGCATATATCAGTCTTACAGTATAGCAGCCACTTGTTTGATTCTTTAAACAAGCAGGTGGGTATATGTTTCGTATATATTTTTTCTTCAAACAACACGGGAATCTTTGACAATATCTAAAGAAATTATAACTAAAGATAAATTAATATTAACAATGTACGACATACGTACCTTGAATGACACTAGGAATTGGAAATTTTAATAAAAGGTTGCCATCAGCTGGGGGCTCTGGAATTGGGAGTCTTTGAGCAACAGCATCAAGCAACGATTTGGGCACATTAAATGTAAAGCCATTTTGATAAAGCACTTCAAAAACATTCTTAAAACTCTCAAACTCTTTTCCTTTAGAGTCCAATTCCTTTAAGAGATATGACTTCACAAGGTTCATTGATGATTTGGGAAAATATTGCACAAACTCAAACAGCTTCTGATCTCCAAATCGATCATCTCTTGGAACATAGATTGAAAATGCTTGATCATCACCAAGTCTGCTCTCACTGTTAGGATCTGCTCAAACATACCCATAATAATTAACATGACTGAACCATAATTAATATACATTAATCATGTGAGAATTAATTAATTAATCAAGGTTTACCCTTTTTTGATGGGGGCCTTCCAGTTCTCACCCTACGAGGGTAGGGATATTGGGTGGATCCTCCAAGAATAGGACGAGCAAGATCTTCACTTTTATCAATATTACCCAAATCATTGTAGGTAGCATAGTCATATATTCTATCCCATTCCTTGCGTTCTCCAGTTCCATCCCCTCTTATAGCTTTCAGCTCCTTTTCTCTATAACTGCGCAATCCCTCTGGTGTCTCACTTGGCAGATATGACTATGCATAACATGTAAAATTTGATCAATAATTTTCCCTTGCATAATATATGCTATCTAACTTATTAAATAACCTAATTAATTTTTCTATACAACTATCTACTTCCACTGCAGAATATAGGTGACTACTTTTACAGAGATTAATAAAATTAGATTAAGTTAGTATGAATTGATTTTTCTAAAATACCCCTTTAACCATTTGCATTAAAAACTAGCCCATTGACAAAAACATAGGGATAGGTTATGAAGAAAATTATAAATTTGAAAGGCAAAATAAATTAAGATATTATATTTAAGACCACAATAATCCCATCAGCTAGTTTTAACATTTAGAACTGAAAGGAGTAATATCCAATTCTACTAGTTTAAATTCCAAATATTTTGAGAATCGAGTCTCTTCCCAGGCCACTTGACCTAACTATTGATGGTGAACTTATCAAGAACTTATCAATAATTAATTAATTAAATTAAGTGAGTTGATTAATTGTGGAATAGTGGATTACCTTGTTGACGAAGAAAATGCGAGGGCTTTGATATTTGGAATCAGGGTAAACCCAAGATCTGCAAACAAAGTGTACAGGAGCAGTCTGATTTGGGATTTCAATGGTGAAACTCACAAGGAAGAATTGATCTGTGGAATGAAGGTTCCTTATAATGAAGGCTCCTGGAATTCCCATCTTATCACTCCAACTGAAATAAACTACATGAGTTGAAGTAACATCTTCTTGTTTAATAATTGACCCCTCCGACGAGGTAGAATTTTCTAGTTTAGCCGCCCCATTCTCTGCAACAAAGAAAACATATATATATATATATATATATATTTGGTGAAACCATATCCTCTTTAATTAGTTAATTAGGAGATAAATATTAAATTATGAGTGTAAGGGAGTGGTTGTTTCGTGTGCCCATATTTTAATCTTATGCATACCTCATGCGTGCCTTTTTTATGGAATAAGGAAAAAACAAAGAAAAATTACACAACATTGACCATGACTTTTTGTTTTAAAGATAAAAAAGCAGACGGAGAGAGGAGGTGCCATGAGATGCACGTAAGTAATTAATCTGCAGATAAGACAAACCATATCCCAATTATAAATTTCGTGTCTGCAAATAAGATATTATATATAATTTCACCTAAACTTTTTTCAATAAAAAAAATATTATAATTTCACCCCCAAAAAATTTAAATTATAACGCCTCAAATTCCAATGTCAATTAACTTAGGCAATACACATATATACCCACAAGAAAAATAATTTTTTACCACAATCCATAAATAACGTGACTTATGTCTCAAACTACTCAAAAGTTCGTATAAATATTGCACCAAGCATGCTATAGTTTATACTCCTCCGGTTCTTATTATAAGACCCAATTTGACTTTTTATTTGGTCCTAATTATAAGACCCAATCCATTTTGTCTCTTATATTTATGCATTTTTTTTTCCAAGATAATCTTTCTAATAATGATAGTTTTAGCCAATATACTTAATTAGCAAGGATATTTTAGGAATGACAACACTTATTTATTATAAATAACCAACTTAACTTACTTCCTTAATCTCCTCAAATAAGTCAATTGGGTCTTATAATTAGGACCGGAGGAGTAGCACACAAGGGGAGGCGATGGCAATTTGGCCTTAGATTGTGATTTAAAATGTGTCATTGAAAGAAGTTCCAATCTGCTTTCGAGAAAGTATATATAATACGAAAAAAAACAAGCTTTTAAATTGAAATCGTCGTTCTTCATAAATTTTTGAGGGAAGGGAAGGAGATTATCATATGAGGAATATAAGAACAAACCAGAACTTGTAAAGAGAGTATATATGTGCATAAACAGTACTTATGAGATAAAGAACGAACCAGAAAAGATTGGGTTGGAAGAACTACTTATCAGCTCAATGGTGAAGGACTGGGAATCTGCACTGAGGTTAGGGTTGTTGATGACCAAAGTCCCTTTGATCATATATTTTTCTTTCCCCTCCATATATATATAAATGAACAAAATGGAAGCTACACTTGATCTGAAGGAAACAAGATAGATAGAGTGATCACAGAAAAAGCTTTCGTGGGGAAGAAGAGGATAGCACGGTGGGTATTTATAGAGACGAAGCTCGACATGGGTGGGTTTATCCAAGGCCTCACTTGATCCACTTGCAAAAAATGAAAGTCTAATACTTGGAAATTCTTAAAATAAAGTAACTTGCGCTAATCTTAAGTATTCTTGTCTGATTAGGAAACAACTATTTGTCGTGCATATATATGTGTATGTCTTTTTTATTAGAAATAATTATATTCCAATTACTGTTGAGTGGTCCTTTCAACAAGAATATAAATTTAATTGAAAAACTAATCCCTTTGCCAGATCTGACATCCATTATAAAATAGTTTTTTTTGTCTTCTCATCCCCTGACAGCATCTTCACCATTCTAAATTACAACCCCAGTATTTAAAGATTAAATTATTTTTAAATCAATATATAAAACATATTGATGTGTCAATATCTCATCATTTTATATGACAAATTTTACTATTAAAAGTCATTAACAATACGGTTCATTTCTCAAATTCTCTGAAGAATACATAGAAAAACTGTCAAATTCGTAAATTAAAAAAAAAAGTAACTTAATTAATAATATTCAATGATATATCAATATATGTACAGACATATTGATCATGCCTCTAAGTTATACCATCAACGAGCCTTAAACTGGAATAATAGCTGTTTTTGCATAACAATATAATCCAAAATCAAGTTTAGTTTGATCTTCATTCACACTAACAACAGTAGTTTTAAATTTAAGATTGAACATATACCCTCATTTTGCTTTGTTCAAAATAATGAAATCTTGAAATGCCTAGCTAACGTTTGATTACTTTTGATATATACTAGTCCTTATTTGGACAACTTTTCCCAATTATTTTATTGTTTATCACGACCCTTTTTTGGTCAAAATTGTTTATCATAACTTGTTCGATTGTCGTGTACATCTCTAATGACGGACATATTAATTTATATTGTCAATTGAACTGAAGGAAATAGGATACTTTATTTCTCAGACTATCGTATGTAGTTAAATCTAATTAATACATCAATAGTGTGAAACACAAGAAAATATTTTATGTCTACGTAGAAGATAAATTATTAACTCATATTTACTGCTTTAATTTTTTCTTCTGTTTTCTTCCTTGCCAACAGTGAATACAGCTTTTGTGTCCGCGTAGTATGTATACTCTTGTTGAAATTTTCCATGATTTGGCAAAGGCAGCAAAATAGCAAAACGGCAATAATTAATATTAAAATGGTCTTTTTCTTTTGTGGTGCTGATTTTTCCTGCGATCCTTGTCGTGTCTATTCAATGCATTAATTAAATAAAGACAAAATCATCATGTGGTCCAAAAAAATAATTATAAAAAAATAATAAGTAAATGATAAATTTCAGTAGAGAAAATAACAAGAACATCCATATTCTTGCTTACTTGCAGTTGAGACTTTTCTGGTAATTATTATTCTAATCTTATTTATAACTTATTTTCAGCATATTTTACTAGAATCGGAAAAAACCTTAAATCTTATAAATATTACTTTAAAGCCTAACAACTTTTTAACTTTGCCCCTTATTTAATATATATACATTTAAAAAAAAAAGTTTATACAATAATAGCACATTCAAGTTAATGAATTAATGATTTAAACCAGAGAAGTATTTTTTTTCTTTTTTTGGATTTCATAATGATTTTCCTTAAATAAACTGATAACAAAAGAAAATTTACACATGAATATATGACTGCCGGCCCGGTGATAAATTCTGTGAAATAAAAAATATTGGAAAACAAATACAGCAACTTGTAATAACAACAAGTTGCACGAAACGACAATTTATTACCTGTTATTAAAAAAAATTTTATAGTTAATTTTTTGCCATGAGATTAATTTTTCTTCTTGTTTTTTTTTTTTTGGAGTTAAAAATCAAAGCCGTCATAAAGTCAAAATAGTATCAGTCCTTTGAGGCTGCTAACAGCTAACACTATGAACACGAAACTAGTGAGTCCAAAACAATGACCTCAAGCAAAACCATGAACTGGGTGGCTTGGTCAACTCTTTACACATTAAAAAGTTTAAATTATAATAATATTTAATATCTTACTTTAATTTTATTTAGAAAGGGTTTTTATACAGGATAAGAACCATTGAAATGTTGAGGCGTAAATGGACTTCAAACCAATGTAAGGAAAGTCTCATTAAATAGAATTGTTGTTCGTGGCATCTTTAATGCGAAGGATTAATTAATTTCATTAAAAAAATATAAAGGAATTAATAAATGGACATTATTAGGATGTCCAAATGTAATTGGATTTGAATTGATGTTTGAAGTCTCCCATAGAATATGATTAGATTTAATAAATTTCAACCCTGCACCCTGCTATAGCTCTTCTTTTCCGTGTTTTTTTTTAATTTTCAAATTTAAATAATTTGTATATATTGGAATCAGGTTGTTTTTATATTTTAATAAAATTATTAAATTAATCCCAAAACTTGTAAATACAAACATATAATTTATTTTACTTAATTACTCTATTAATATGAAAATTATGATCAGTCAACAAAGATATGAGAAATCAAATATAGAATCAATCTTCTAATATAAAATAAGGCTATGTTTAAATTAATGTAAAACCATAACTTCTTTTTATTAAAATTAAAATTAAAACAGAAAAAGCCAACCTTCGGCCTTATGAACCAAAGGTCTTGTACTAAAATTTGACGATTTGTCAGTTTTAAAAATAAAATCAATTTGTTATACTGATATCGAATTATGAGACAATCTTCAGTTACAACTTATGGCGTAGTTAGAAACTATGCTTTCAAAACTTGTTAAGGAGAAAATACTAGTTGCCAATAAATGTTTTAGATCTAATTATTAATTAACTGAGAATGACAATTAAAAACTTTGTAAGAAAATAATTAATATAAGCTAGGACATGTGTATAACTAAAATTTCAAAATTTGCGACTCAAAATTTCTATATTTATCTCTTAAAATTTTTCATTTCACATTAATTTTCTTAATTACAAGATTTTTAATTATTTTCTCTAAATTGGTTTTGGGGGTCCTATGCCACAGAGAGAGAGAGAGAGAGAGAGAGACTAACTCAAGAAACATGATTGGTTACTTTGCCGGGGAAGCTCTGCACAATCAGAACCGCGCGTATCATTTTGGATTAAGTTTTGCTGAGTACTACCTTCTGCCCTTTTAGATAATTAATTTAGAAAAATTAAGTAAATTAATTAAATTAGTTAATTATAATAAATGTGTGCTGACTTTCCTAAACTATCTTTTTTAATCATATATATTAGAACTATTCTTTGATGGGAATCTCTTACAATCAATAGAAATATTTTAAAAAAATTATAAATTTGAAATATAAAGTAGATTAGTCTTATAGTTAAGATCAAATCTAATCTCTAATTAGTTAGAATATGAGGATTTGATTACCTCGAATTTTACGATGACTATAAGTTAAGTCTTCTCATCCGTCAAATGGTTTTTTACTAAAATATAAACAGCTCTATCTTCCTTATCTACTAAAATAATGCATTAATCTATTATATAAAAATAAAAATATTCCCACGTGCATATATTTTATTGTGGTTTCCACAGTTAATGTTACAAATTACGAGGAAGTCTTAAGCCGCCTTACAACCCCGGTCTGCCATCTTTGACATTTTGACTCGGCTAAGAAAATTTTGTTTGCATAATATTTATTTGAGAGTATTATAATATTGTTATGGTTTCACTGGACAATAATAATCAAAATCTTGTAATCTAATGACAACAAACATGTTTCTTAAATTTTTTTAAGCATAAGATTGTAAATTCAAGTCCTTTATTTAAAAATATAATAAATACATGAGTCATGAAAAAAAAAATTTGAGTGATAACAACGGTAAGAGGAGGACACGCAACAACAAACTCTAACATCTCCATGAAGGAATAATGGTTTTTCAGAATATCTAAAGCACAATATCAATGAAAAAGGTGAAGCAAAGAAATAAAAATAATAGTACAAGGTAAATTATTATAGATTTTATAAATATGAAAATATGGATATAAAATTAAATAATAACATGCCATATTATGAGAAATACGACTTATTTAAACTCTGTAAAATGCATGCTTTGGAGAAAAAATATGCCGAAGCAGCACTAATTAATTACCAATACGATTTTTGCTTGATGTTAATTGTAATTCTTGACACGAAGCTATATATAAAAAAAAAATTAAAATAAAATATCTCTGATGAACGGGAACCATTATATGTTGGAGTATAATGACAATTTGGGACTAATAAATGATGAATTTAATCAAGTTTTAGGACCAAGACATTATAAAATTGCAATTTATGATAAACCGCGACCCAATGTGCATTGTGCAACAGGCATCACTTCACGTGTGGCTGGCCCGAGAACCAACAATGATTATTGTTTCAATTTGATAAAACCAACATTTATTTTCTACAACACAAAATTATTTGAAGTTATCCGTTAATTAAATTACATGAAATATGTATAAATTTACAATAATGAGTAGAATATTGCCGTGTAAATTTAATCATATCAGAAACGAACGAGACGTTACTTTTTGGGCCTTTTACATTACAGACAGTAGTATCTGTTTCAGCACATATAATAAACTTAAGTTCATCTTCAGATGGCACTTTATTGAAACATAACACAAACGGCCTTTTATTGGCAACCAAGTACAAGATTTTATGAAACAGAAATATGAAAATCAAACATAATAATTATTGTCTTATGAACAAAAAGTTGAAACATTTTGATCAAATGGAGATGCTGTTTGGAATGCCCCTACCAGTGAGCCCTTCCTCACTTGTAGGATAAAGCAAAGTGTAGGGCACATTCACAACCCCAACCCTGTTCCTCAATTTCTCATCTTTATTCTTCGCTATGAGCCTTTCTTCAATCTCAGTGAGCTTCTTCCCAAACTTCTTAAAAGCTTCCAATGGCTTAACATCACTAGTCCAATCAGGACTGTCCCTTGTCCCAAGATAAACCTCATCAGAAGTGTGCCTTGACAATATCTCAATCACTGAAAGATCAATTAGGGTCTGAATCTTTGGTGTTATTGTCCTCAAGAAAGCTTTTTCTGGGTTCTTCTTCATCTCTTCATATTCTTCAGTTCCTTCTTCAGGAATGAATCTTCTACTCAGTGTTGGACGGTTCAGAATGTAACCTCCATAAGGATATTGTCCAAAATTAACAGCAGCATGAAGAGCTGAAGCAGTCCATATGACAATAGTGCAAGATTCAATAAGTTCCTTTCGTGTTTGCATCTTAGGCCACCATGGTTTATCTTTTAAATCTCCATGGCCAACTTCCACAAGTTCCTTCCACCAAGCTTGTAGTTCAGAGTCTGCTTTAACAGTCTCATCTGTCTCATAGTAGCAAGAAACATAGTCTTGAACCCATGTCTTAATAGCATCCCATATCTCAAGTCCATCCACAGCAAAAGGGTAATCCTCTACTGCAAGACGAAGTCCATGAGGAGAAGTTGGATCTTCAACTGCCATCCCTCTAAATTCAAGAAAACGAAGTGTTAATAATATATGTAATGCCTGAATATAAGTTAATTTAAAAACTTTTTTTTGGATTATTACCTTTTAATGAGGTTGGCAGGTAGGGCTTGATCAGGAAAAACCCAGTCCTTGTAAACCTTAGAAGACATCTCCATGGAGTATTTCCCAGGCAAGAATGATAACTCTATAATGCCATTTGCGTTGATCAAAGCTTGTCGAGCCAGTGCATTAATATTCATGGTGTCACGAAAATGAGGGTGCAGAAGTTTGTGAATAGGATGAAGCACACTTAGTTGCCTGTTCGTTGCTATGATGAATGGCTCAATAACTGCATGTGTATTTAGCCTGTAAAACACAATCCATTTCATTAATAAACTCACCATCATGATTCCCAAATGGCTAATTAAGTTAGATAATTTGTGTTTATCTGATAAATTCTCAGAGGCTATATATATACCAGTGGCTAACAAGTTGGTGGAAGCCAGAGTCGTTAACAGTTACATAAGCTTTGGCCAATAGCCAGATGGTAGCCTCAACGCCCTGGTCGGCAGGCAGGATCACCTTACTAACAGCACCGTGTTGGTCTCCATCGGGATGAGGTAAGCTTAATTCAATGGCCAATGGCTTCAAACTTCCATCATCTTTCAAGAAAAAGACTGTTCTTGTGGCGTAAGTCTTATTTCCAGTTTCACTATTTATCCGTCTCAGATATGGCATGAATGCGTCATGGTGGTCTAGTATGAACAATCTCTTGCTGGTGAGTGCCTGCGAAACATATATATAAAGGCATAATTTATATATATATATATAAAATATATATATAGAGAGAGAGAGAGAGAAATTTTAATTATCATCTTCTAGTTAACATTTTGCATTACTGCGATTCATATTTATCACTTACCTCATTCACTGTGACTCCATTCATGTTTTGCTCCAAATGTTCTTTGGTTATTTTGCTGGTTTGGTCACCGTAGAGACTAGCATCTAGCTTGCTTTTTGGGGGAAACTCCTGCAATTAATTTATTTGAGTAAATTATGATAATTATTACAAACATTTACTTGTGGGACCATTAATTGAGTTAAAAAAGGGTTAAGTCCCAATCAACTTTCTTTTAAAAAAATACTCACTAATATGTCACTACATATTTTAAAAAGACTTAATCATATAACGTTTGACTATAATAAAAAAAATGAATCATTTGCTCTATATTTTTGTTTGAAAACATGAATACCATGTATATCCTAATGTCAGTTGAAAATGAAGTTTAATTGTTTAGATTTAAAATTAGATTCTTCTGATTAACTTACTTGGAGACCCTCGATTAAGCAAGGATTCACACCAGCAAGCGTCTCTCTTGCAAATTCTTCATCAGTCATCCATCCAGAAACATTTTCTGCATCAAGTGACAGAAAGTGTAAAATTATAGCTTTTCAAATGCATATGACTTTTCTATATATTTTGATCTTTATATCTGATTGTACATGAAGCTCATTCGTTATTAAACCAAATAAGTTAGTTGGATAGGACTTTCAAAGTTTTTATTCTCTTCATCTTTTTTTATTATTTTCAGATGTGAGAGACTTCTCAGTATACTTTATTCCAAGAAGCATGCTTCCAAACAAAGACGTTTTTTATTTCATTTTTGGTACCAAGTAACATCATTCCGGGCGCTGTACAGAAGTAAACTCTGTTGGATTTTCTTATAAATATATAAAATAATACCTTTAAACCATTATCCAGAGTTACTTAATTAAGATGATACGAAAGGTTAATTAATTTACCTCTGATGACCAAGGGAGTAGGAAATCTGAGAAACTGCTCTCCATCAGTTCGGAAAAGTTCAGAGAGCAATGGAATAGGCAATCTCTCACTGAATTGCTTAAACAAGTCGTGTGGAAGCTTCAATCCACCACTATAAAGATCACGAACATTATCAAAGTCTTTGAACTCATTTGATAATCTAAATGCTGATTCCAATAAAGGCCTCAGATCTTGAGCCACAGATTTGAGCAAATATGCCAAGAAATCTGATAACTTGGTGTGCCCAAACCTCTCATCTCGTGGCACATAGATATCGAAGTTTTCAGCCAGGAAAAGAAGCCTGCTCTCAGTGCTCGGATCTGTTCAAGTATCGATCGAAACAAATTAAAAAATATGAACAAACAACCAAAACTAGCTTGTTGCTTATTATAATAGGTAGAAAAATGATCAAACCAGCGAGAAGAAGACAAATATATATATATATAGTTAGGTGTTACCAGATTTGTTAGGTGGCCTGCTGGTTCTTCCTCTACGAGGATAAGGATAACCGCTAGAGCCTCCAAGAGTTGGACGAGCTAGGGCTTCCTTCTCATCAGGATCACCCAGGTCGTTATAAGTAGCATAATCATAGACTCTATCCCATTCTTTGCACTCTGAGAATCCATCTCCTCTTAAAGTGTTGAGTTCCTGTTCTCTGTATTTCCTCAATGGCGTTGGAGTTTGACTTGGCAGATATGCCTATACAATATAAATATTAATTAATTTCTTCCTCAACTGATAGTTCTACTGGAGAAAAACAAATCATTATAGAGATAAAGCATTTCATGATAACGTTGAAAGGTTGAATATGTATTATTTAACGTACCTTGTTGGTGAAGAAGATGCGATCGGTTTGGTACTTGGTACGAGGATAAATCCAAGAGTTACAAACAAAGTGGATGGAGCCATGATTGGGGATGTCATCAAGTGTGAGACTCACAAGAAAGAATTCATTGTGAAGATTGTTTCTGATCACAAAAGCTCCTGGCAACCCAAACCCATCATCGTACTCAAAATGAACCCTACATGCTGCTTGACCATTCAACAACGTTGGCAATGTCCGAATGAACCCTTCCAACGGTGCAGCCTTCCCAAGTTTCCCCAAACCATTCCCTGCTCAAATTTCAAAATCATGTGAATTCATCACTTAATTGGAAGCTTAATAAGCTTTCATCTTGTTATGTTCAATTTGATCCGTTATATATAGTCTTGTAGTTAGAGAGAAAAAGAGATATGCCAAAAAAAAAAATGGAGAAAAATAATGATTAATCAACAAACCTTGATCCTATTATGGAAGTGAAAGGAACTTTGACTGGTTAAACACGAAATCTTAAATACGAGATACTCTAACTGAGTTTGACAATACTCGAATCTGACCCAGTCAGAGATAAGCATATTAAAAAAACAATGGTGAAAAGTTTAGAACGAACCAGGATCAGCTTTGGTGGAGCTAATCAATTGAAGAGAGACAGCTCCACCAATTATTTGATGAAGACCATCGAAGATAGAGGTGGCAGCATCAAGACCCAAGTTGATTCCAGCTTTGAGGTCCAAATTATTGAACTCCAAGACCTTCTTGCTCATCAACACCACTGTTCCTTTGATCTTTCCTTTGTTGTGACCAAAGATATCGGACACAAAGTTCACTCCTGAACTCAACATCTTTCCTTCTTCTTAACAGTAACTAGAACAAGAATATAATCGAAGATTAGGCAATTCCCACGGAGAAGCTTTTCTGAATCTGTTCGATGAAGCAGAGCCAGACGTGGTGGGTATTTATAGAGTGGAAGGTGATCATTGTGGGTAGGTAAAGATGAATGAGATATATGTTGACGTGATGGGTTTTAAGTAATTTCAAAGGCTTTTCTGATAACTCCATGTGCACAACGTGCCTTTTGGCTTCCATGAAACAAGACGCGAGATTGACTACGAGGGAATCATATTTACATCCAAACAGAGCGCAATTGAACTAACCATTGTTTTACCAAAGTACAATAACGGTCTTTTCAAATAATATTCCTTTTTTTCTAATATCCACTACCAGGAAAAACCAAACCTATCCGTGAAATGATAGGTTTCAGAATATAGTACTTTGTCATATAATATTTTAACGTCTACCTACTCTCTCACAACCAAGAGATGTTCACATTCTTAATATTTTAACGTCCACTTGGCATTCTCAATTTTTTAACGTCCACTTACCTTTTTAATAATATCTTCTTTAGTTGGTTAGGCCCCTAGGGGGTCATATGCAAAAACAATAATTTCAAATTTTTTATTATATATATTATTGTGAATTTTTTATTCGTTTACCTTCTTTTTTCAATTAATTTTATTTATAAACAGAGGCTTTATGATTAATTTGTGGATTCCTAAATTTTGGTAATGGAATTATAAAAAGGAATACGGTTACCCTTATTTTGTCATTTATGCTAGAGTATATATTTTTACTTTTGGATTGAAATGCGAAAATGACACAATTTGGTAAATAATTATTCCGCATGTTGAAGACGGAGATATTCTGGACAGAATTGGTTTTTTTTTTTTAATGATATGATGAGGCAGAAGAAGATAACTATAATATCTAAATTTGGCTAAAAATATACGTTTGGTTCTTTAAGTTTCAGTTTAAAGCAACTGTGTTGTGTTATATATTTTTTTAATTCTTACAAGAAATTGCAACACAAATAAAAATTTTTACTTTTAATTACTCTAAATTTGGTCACCTTTAAAATTTTACTGATTAAATTGTTAGTAATTTTCATAAACATTGCAATAATTCAAGAATATAAAAATATTAAAAGTAATTAAAAAAAATTCACGTGCCAAATGTTTGCGTGATGACAAATGACAGAAAGTTTAAATATTCACCCGAAAATGACATAAAACGAAAATTAATCAATTGAATATAATAACCCTTAATGCAGGTTAAACATGATCATTGTTTTTTGTGTCATGTTTAACATGATCAACTTAATTAATGAATATATTATCGTTAATCCAAGTCAGACAAGAATACAATATGATAAAGAACAAATCTACTCTTGGCTAGGAAGGACAATTGAAAACATGAAATTTCTTAATGCATTTTAGTTCAAAGATAGTATTGTAATTATTAATTAAAAAATGTGCATACAACATTGGGGGCAAGTGGTGAAAAACAATTGATGTATTAGGTGTATTGTGATATGATGGCCATTTGAATCTTAATTTAATCATCAGACCATGACCGTGCTACTTTACACGTGAATAAAATGTAAAATATCATAATACACATATAAAACAAAACATAATATCATCATTAAGAAATAAACAAAATATAATTATTAAGTTTGTTACAATAAATTATCACTATTTATTAGTGGTGATGACAACTACTTCCTCCGCTCCTTTTTACAAGTGACTAATAACTAAAATATGATGTTTAAGAAAATAATTAAAATTAGTTAAAAGTATTAAATATGTAAGAAATAAATTTTTTTTCCAAGCATGTCCTTATTTATAAGGGGCAAGTAAGGAAAAAAAAAGTATGAAAGAGAATGTAATAAACCTTTTAATTAATGCAATATATAAATTTAATTAGGAGCAAAAATGGTAAAAACATATTGAATATTTAAGCAACCATAAGTTAGATATTATAAAAATGACTAATTTCATACTCTTATAAAAATGACCTGAAGGAGTATATACTCCCACCGATCCTATTTATAAGTTTTAAATTTAAAAAGAAATGTGATCTATTTTATAAATTTCAATTTGGGTTTGTTTTAACATTTAATGTATTTTTTCAATATTGCCCTTAACTATTTTCCTCTTATCACATTTCTTCATACATTTTCTTTCATCCTTTTTTCTAATTTATTAAAAGGGCACATTTGGAAACAAAATTATATTTCTAACCTATTTATTATTTGTAATTAATTTTAACTAATTATTCGTTATCGGTAAATTAGTTATTTGAAACTTATTATAAGAATAGAAGATATTACAAGGGAATCACCAAAGAATTCTTTTAATTAATAATCAAATTAATTACTTAATTGGATGTATTTTTCTTGGCGACAAATCCGACGTCATAATTTAATGAGACTTTGATTAGCATACCAATAAATATCAATACTATAGTTTTCTCAGCCTTTTGGCTAAGATCAAGTGTAGCATCAATAGATATTAAAAATTGTTACATAATTGTAGCGATGATGAAAGGCGTAGCTAAAAGTCCAAGCTCTGGATCAACGAGATGGATTTTTTTTTTTTATGTATTACCACAAAAAACTGTACAATTTTTATGATATGAGCAATTAATAAAGTCACATAGATACACGCGATTAAGACATCGAAACACCAAAATCTCTAAATTCGGTTTTCAGTTGTGATTAATTACTCATTAGTGGATGATGTGAACTTTGCAAATCCCGCCTTTAATCACGTGAACCCCATCTCATTGATTCTCTTAACAAGATAAAAATAATAATAATAATAACAAATCACATGCGTTTAATACTTCCAAGCACAGTAACAGGGACGCAAGGTCCAAAAAAAAAAGGGGCACAGTAACGTGGACCACTTGCTTATGTGCCCAGAAATTAATACTCCTCATGTCCTTAATATAAGATCTATTTAACTAATTTGATTTAATTAAAAAAATCAGGTAAGTTAGTTAATTATAAGAAAAATAACACATTTTTCCTAAAACACCATAATCATCTTTCTTAATACCCCATCTCCCTCTTTTACTTGATTATGGTTGAGGGAGTATCCATATGGGTAATTTAGAAAAAATTGATAAATATGAAAAATGAGTCTTATATTTAGAATCAAAACCAACTTAAAAAATAAGTTTTATATTAAAGACGGAGGAGTACATCACTTTACAAGATTGGTAACGATGATTGACGCTAATAGTTTAATCGGCGTAGAAAAATAACCCATTTAATTTGTTCTCTTTGCTATGGTGACCTTTAGTATCTAATTCTGAATCATGAGCATTCGTAGAAAGAAGGGAACAATACCAATTTAGGTTGTTGCAAGTGAGGGAAACTTTCCTCACTTAAACAAGTGATTGGAAGTTTTGAATCCTAGCCATTATGCTTGTAGCAATTCAGTTAGAATGAGTCTACCTTTAGCTTAGTCTAACGTGGGACACTAGTTTTTATCGTCAGCAGAATATACCTGTTTCACCAGAAAAAGAAGGGGGGGGGGCGCTTTAGCCATTTAAGTACTCGGAGGCTGCACCATTCATATCTCGATGTGCTTAAAGCTGCATTATGCATTATATACCACCAAGAGGCCAAGCTTGGCAAGCAGCAGTACTTGGATGTGTGATCCAAGCATAGGCTAAAGCAACTAATATTAGAAGTTTCATGATATGTCGTTTGCCTCAAATAAAGAAAAGCGGAACTGCTCTTCTTCATTTTATTAAACATTAAAAAGACTCTAACACATTCCCAGCTGCTCTCATGATGGACAACACACAACAGTAGTTGAAACACAGAGGACAACAAAACAAAGGATTATTAACTTTCACACTTGGTAGAGGAGCCGCCCACAGTTTCTTCAGATAGAGATACTGTTTGGAATTCCCCTGCAGGTGAGTCCTTCCTCACTTGTAGGGTACAGAAGGGTGTAATGCATGTTGACTGGCCCGACCCTGTTTCTTAGTGTCTCTGTGTTGTTCCTTTCTATCAGTTTTTTCTCAATCTCTTCCAGCTTCTTTCCGAACTTCTTGAAGGCTTCCAATGGCTTCGCATCAGAAGTCCAGTTAGGATTGTCCCTTGTCCCAAGATAGACCTCATCAGAGGCATGCCTTGATAATATTTCTATAACCGAAAGGTCAACAAGGGTTTGCAACTTTGGTGTTATTGTTTTCAAGAAAGCTTTCTCTGGGTTTTTCTTCAACTCTTCATAATCTGCGGTTCCTTCTTCGGGAAGCAATCTCCTGCTGAGAGTTGGACGATTTACGATATAACCTCCATAAGGATATTGTCCAAAATTGACAGCTGCATGGAGGGCTGAAGAAGTCCAGATGACAATGGTGCAGGTTTCAATAAGCTCTTCACGAGTGTGCATTTTTGGCCACCAAGGCTGATCTTTCAAATCTCCGTGACCAACTTCTACAAGTTCTTTCCACCAAGCTTGTAGTTCAGGGTCTTGCTTAACATCTTCATTGTTCTCATAGTAGCAGCAAACATAGTCATGAACCCATGTCTTAATAGCAGCCCATATCTCAAGTCCATCCACAGCAAAAGGGTAGTCCTCTACCACCAGGCGAAGCCCATGAGGACATTCTGGATCTTTAACAGCCATGCCTCTGAATTAAGTAAATAAAAGGTTAATATGTTGTAATACTAACAGGGTTAATATTTTAGCTTATCCTTCATCTTTAGATCATGACAAACTTTCAGACCCTTTAACCCCCTCCCCCCTTTCAATGTCTAAAACTAGCTGTTAGAAAGTGTGAAACCCATTTTTGTGGTTTATATATGCACTTGAATATTACCTTTTGATAAGATCGGCTGGTAGGGCTTGATCAGGGAAAACCCAGTTCTTGTAAACCTTGGAAGACATCTCTATCGAGTATTGTCCAGGCAAGAATGACAACTCTATAATTCCATTTGCGTTGATCAAGGATTGTCGAGCAAGAGCATTTATATTCATCGTGTCACGATAATGAGGAAAGAGAAGTTTATAAATAGGATGAAGAGCACTGAGTTGCCTGTTAGTTGCTATGACAAATGGCTCAATGACTGCATGAGTTTTTAGCCTGCAAAGCATAAAAACATATTAATAACAAAGCCCAGATCATATAATTGATTAAAGTATCTGGGTTGATCTCATGGATAGAGCTTATACCAGTGGCTAACAAGTTGATGATAGCCAGAGTCGTTTACAGTCACATAAGCTTTAGCCAACAGCCAGATGGTACCTTCAACCCCTTGATCTGCAGGCAAGACGACCCTACTTATAAAGCCGTGTTGATCTCCATCGGGATGGGGTAAACCTAGCTCAATAGCCAATGGCTTCAAAGTCCCATCGTCCTTCAAGAAAAGAATCGTCCTAGTGGCATAAGCCTTTTTTGAAGTTTCATTTATCTTCCTCAGATATGGCATGAATGCGTCGTGGTGGTCTAAGATGAACAATCTCTTGCATTGGAGTGCCTGTTTACCAAACAGAATATGATTCAGCAAATGTGCTTTAAGAATAGATTATAAAGGATATGCTCTTCGGTCTATGGTTCCAATACTTCATTTGACATGATTATTGTGAATCTCAAAACTATATAATTACCTCATCCACTGTCACCCCACCCATATTTTGCTCCAGTTGCTCTTTGGTTATTTTGCTCGTTTGATCACCATAGACCCTAACATCCAGAGTGCTTTTTGGGGGAAACTCCTGTCATTAATTCAAGATAAATCTGTCAACATCAGCATAATAAAATTTGAACACATGACGTAGATTAATTGGAGGACCACTTTTGTCACTTACTTGGAGAGCCTGAATTACACCTGGATTCACACCAGCCAACATTTCTCTTGCAAACTCTTCATCAGTCATCCATCCAGACTTGTTTTCTGCTCCGAATTAGCAAAGCCTCAATAACAATTGCTTAAGTTTTCCACATTTGTTACAAGTTAAACCATATGCCCTGCCTACCACCTTTAAATTAGTAATAATCTTTGAAGTTCCAAAAAGAAAAGCAACATACCTTTAATAACTTTAGGGGCAGGATATTTGAGAAATTGTTCACCATCAGTACGGAAGATTTCCTTGAGCATAGGTAGAGGCATTTTTTCGCTGATATTCTTGAGTACATCCTGAGGCAGTTGAAATCCACCTTCATAGAGTTCGCGGACCTCATCAAAGCTCTCGAACTCATTGGACATGAACTTGAATGCCGACTCCAACAATGGCAGTAAATCTTGAGAAATAGATTTCAGCAAATAGGTCAGAAAGTCCGACAATTTAACGTGACCAAATCGTTCATCCCTTGGAACATAGATATCGAAGTTCTGAACTCCAGGAAGAAGTCTACTCTCAGTGTTAGGATCTGTACAAAAAACCAAAAAAAAAAAAAAACCCACACAACGTCAGTAAAGAATCAGCGTTGTTTAATTAATTAAGAAAATGTATTTAAATCCCTAAACTTAACCTGAGTTAGACGGTGGCCTGCTAGTTCTTCCTCTACGAGGGTAAGGATATTCGGAAGAGCCTCCAAGAGTAGGACGGGCAAAGCTCTGGTTGAGATCTGGCCAGCCCAAGTCATTGTAGGTAGCATAATCATAGACTCTATCGTGTTCCTGGAGCTGTGAGAATCCATCTCCTCTTAAAGTAATGAGCTCTTGTTGTCTGTATTTGACCAAAGCTTGTGGTGTTTTATTAGGAACATATGCCTGAAAATGCAATAAATTCAATAAATTAATTAACAGTAACTTCAATGTTGAATTGAAAGAACAAAACAGTGAAAATTTAGAAAGGAATTGAACCAAGATTTACGGACCTTATTGGCGAAGAAGATGCGGTCGCTCTTGTAATAGCAGGCAGGGTAGATCCAGGAATTGCAAACAAAGTGGAGGGTTCCATGATTTGGGATATCGTCAAGCGTGACGCTGACGAGATAGAATTCGGTAACAAGATTGTTCCTGATCACGAAGGCTCCAGGAACACCGAAGTCTTCATTGTAATCAAAGTGGACACTGAAGGCATTCTGTCCTTCCAACAGCGTTGGCAATGTGGTAACAAACCCTTCCAGTGACGCAGGCTTTCCAAGTTTTCCCAACCCATTTCCTACATAATTTTACAGATATAATATAAAATTAGTAAAATAAGGGCACTTTAATTGGAAATTATGAGTAGAAAAAATGGCTGAAAAATCCCTCATTACACAATTTATTACTCAACCTCTTCTAAAATTTGTTTAAAAACTTATGCACAACTCTTTTACAGATATCCATAGCATGTTTTTAAGTGTGCAAAATGAAATACCTTTGAGCAATGAATTTGATAATGAGAGATTTTTTTTAATAGTTTTTTCCTAATTAATAACTATCATGAATTTTTTTACATATTTCACAATGAAATTAAAAAAGAAAATTTTTTGTGTGTATAATTATAATAATTCACATTTAATTTTTTAAATTTTTTTTAAAATACATAATACCCACATCTAATCAATATTTGTTCATCTTGATATTTTCAAATAAGCAATTTGAAAATGCTACCAAATACATGCATGGTTCTTCTTTTACAAGCATTATCGGAACACAAGAAATTATTTGGCAACAACTAAAAGTGCTTTTAAAAAATATTTTTCGTAAAATAAGATAATTTTTTTTAAATATTTATTTCATATATCGTAAAAATATTTTTTAACTATATTTTGATTTCCATTCAAACACCCCGTAAATAACCAAATGTGATGCATTTTTGGTAAAAGCAACAATTGCCAAAACATATCATTATTAGACATGTATATAATTATCACAGAAGGGATATGGTGAGTTATTTAATTAGTGATGTGGATATATTAATTTGGACAATTATTTATTGTGGTCAAAAAAAGATGTGAGCACATGATTTGGCCTCGTGCAAGCCCACGCGCACAAGGAATATATTATAAATTATATGTCTCTTATCCGAATGGCATAAACAGTAATAACTCATATATTATATGTTGCAGTGTCCATACTTTAATCTTGTGGACTCCTTTTCATTATTGTTCTATCTTTTTTAGCTAGCCACTGGGGTAAAATAATTTAGGTGGTCTTCGATCTCCATTAAATTGATATTTTCCTCTCTTTTTTTCTTTTTATAGAAAATTGATCTCACTTTGATCTGTGGGGTTGATGGGGTGGAACTGACTGGACAACCTAGATTTAATGGAAGCTTGGTATTTACTGTAAATTTAGGAATCTTAATTATAAATAAGATATTTAAATCTTAATTATAACTGTCAATTTGAAACCAAGGCAAAACTCAAAATCATATTTGCAACTCTTTTTTCAAAAAAAAAAAATTGTTTTACGGGGATTAACTGTCATTAATTTAATCTTTTGGAATTCAAAACCTCATTCCCTCTATATTTTTTTATTTTGATTAAAAGAAATTAAAGACACATGATGAGAACATTTTTTCCCCCAAAAACTTCCATTAAAATACTGTTCAAACATTCTACGCTAGAGTGGATCGGATCCTCAAAATTTTTTAGCTCAAACCAGTCAGCTTCTCTCTTATGTGCATTAGATGATGGTGGTGGTGTCTCTCTCTAAGAGCACACACACATAATACTACATATGTTGCATAGAACCTGTAAAAACAGCCATTATTGAACTTTGAGAATAAAGATTGTGAAGTTCTATGCAAATTAAAGCTTGCGCCATCTAATTGTTGAAACTGAAAGCTTTCTGCTCTAATTTTGAACAGGAAAGTGGATCTGAGTATGATGTGTTTCTTTCTAGTTCATTGTGCTTTTAATGCTGATCTATGAGTAAATATACAAGTAAGGAGAGGAGGATGACGGTAGATTTTACCGGGATCGGCCTTATTGGCACTGATGAGCTGAAAGGAAACGGCGCCGCCCAAGAACTGGCGGAGGCCGTCCAAGACGGAGCCGGCCACCCCGAGACCGATGTTGATGCCGGCGTTGAGATTGAGATTGTTGAAGTCAAGAACCTTCTTGCTCATGAGCACCACCGTGCCTTTGATCTTGCCATGCTTGTTGCCGCCCAGAATATCCGGCACCAAGTTCAGCCCCGCGTTAAACATCTTGATGCTCTTATCTCTCTCTCTCTCTCTCTCTCTCTCACTAGTAAACCAGACACTTAATATTGATTAAGCTTCTGAACTGAGTTGTGGTGAGTTTGCAGATGAGGCAATGGTGGCTATTTATAGAGCCCAAGACGAAGACGACGACGATGATGAAGATGCTGATCCTGCATTGATCCGGTTTTTTTTTTTTTAACCTCTTCTCCACGTGTAAAATGTGTCAGTCTTCTGTGTCGCATGGGATCCCTGACTAACACGGCGTCGTTTCATTATTTTTACTTTTTTTAATAATGATGACGTTTTAAATGTTATTCTTCGTTCTCCGTTATTTTGGTTGTCGTCATGTCCATCATTAGAGCACTTCTTGCTATTATACCATCATGTTTTTAATATTTAACTCAATTTTTCATTTTATAAGATTGTCAAGCACGTCGCTGTTGAATTATGCGCGTCCTTGTTGAATTATAACTTTTTTTTCCCCCTCATCATCAATAATTCTGCGAATATGAATCTTTGGTAGCATATACTCTGGCAAAGAGAGAAGATTTTTTTATCCTATTTATAAGTCACTTCATTAAATTTTTACCATGAATGTATCATATTGTTCTTTATTTATTATAATGTAGATAGTTTTTTTAAAAAATGTATATATTAAATAGGGGTAAAGTGGAAAAGTTACTATATTTTAATGAAGAGTTAATGCAGTTTAAGATTTTTCTTGGTCTATATGAAACATGTTGAAAATGCCTTATAAATAGAACCAGGAGAGTAATTAATTAGGATTAGAAAATGTATGTATGTATGTAACATCGAATGATTTTTAATAATCCTTTCCTTGTTGTAACAAAAAACCTTCTTCTCACATATTTCAGCTATTAAAATGGATTTTCCCTTTATAATAATACTTATATTATGTTCAGTTCTAATTACAAGACTTTATTTGTAGTCTATAAATAAAATCTTATAATTAGGACGAGATGTGGTATTATTTATCAACAAAGTTTTCATCATACTAATAGTGAGATTCAGATTTATATTTTACAAAATATAAATCACATATTTACCAATTAAATTAGCAATGCCTCGAGGTAACCCGCCAACAGCAAAAAAAAAAAAAAAAAGCTATGTTTTCTTCATCTTTTTTACCCGCTTTTATTCTTTTTTACCCGCTTTTATTGCATAGTTAACAGGATGTCGCATGAGAGGGGATCAGTTTCAGTACTCATCCACTTGATGAGTACCATGAGCTAATCAGATCTGAACCGTTCATATCTTATTTGGGTGGTTCAGATTTGATTTTTTTTTATTTATTCAAAATAATTATTTTAATACACATAAAATCTAAAATAGTAATGATATTTTAACTATCATTCTTTCAAAAAATAGTTTATTCTATTTAAAAATAATTAATTAAAGATTTTAAATCTGAACCGTTCAAATAAGATATAGACATTTCAAATCTGATGAGTTTATAGTGCTCATCAAATAGATGAGCACCGAAACTGGTTCGTATGAGAGGGCCTCAGAGTGGAATAGTGCACCAGCCTAGAACGTTGTCTGTTTCCCTTGTCGTGTTCCGAACGTGATTCACGCCCATAAGATTCTACTGTAAAACTAAATCTCAAATGTAAAAATTACAAAATATATATATACACACACACACACGAGCATTAATTAATAATAATTCAATATGTATAAAATGTTTTTTTCCTTTTTATTTTACAGAATTAAACACGTGCTCACAAAGAAACTTCTTAACACCACGCTCGAACATAAAACATTGTCTTTTGACGCTGCTATATATTAGAGCATTTTACGGTTGCCAAAACATTATTTTCTACAAATTAATATTGTTTTGTCATCATATTATATTACCTCCGATCCTAATTATAAGAGTCAGTTGACTAATTCAAAAAGATTAAGAAAATAAGTTGAGTTAGTTATTTGTTCTAAATAGGTGTTGTCTTTCTTAAAATATTCTTATTAATCAAATGTATTGACTAGAACTATTATCATTAGAAGGGTTACTTTGGAAAAAATATATAAATATAAAAGACAAAATGGATTGGGGTCTTATATTTAGGATCAAAATAAAAGTCAAACAGGGTCTTATATTAAGGACCGGAGATAGTATTGAAATACTACCTCCAGTCCTAATATAAGATCTCATTTATATTCTATAAACAAGGTTTTATAATTAGAATCGGAGATAGTATATGTTACAAATGTATGTTTAATAATCTAACTCATACAATATAACAATAAAAATAAATTTTATCTCATTATTAAGTGAAATCTTAGGGGCTCATAAAATACGAAGGAATAACATTTGGTGTTGAAGATAGATAAAGCACCCCATGTGACCATATCTTTTATTTTAATTCCTGCCACGCACCGCTACATATTTTATTCAGGCCAAGGTATATAATCCTTATTAAATAGTACTCCCTCTTAATTTATTTTATAGTATAATTTATATTATAAAATAAGTTTTATATTTAGAACGAAAACAATGTATTTGTTATATCTCAACGTAATCAAGTATTTTTTTTTTGTCCACCCACGTAATCAAGTATTTAAATAATTAGCTAAAATCTCTTTAATGATCACTTGGAGTACAAGTGTCCGGTTTGTGCCCTTCGCCTCATATATAAAATAAAAGAAAATAATCTACTCATCACAAATCTATATATATATATATATATATATATATTATTTTTTGAAAATTGCCCCCATCACATGATTTTTTTCCTTTTATTTTATTGAGCTTAAGGACAGACGTGATTTAATTTGCTTCTTATTAATTTTTCTATTACATTTCACCCAGAGGCCAGAACCGAGATTTCACTCTTAATTATCCAAGCTCTTAATTACTGCGACTGTAATGTCACACTCAAATAAATAAGTTCATCATTCATATTTGATAAAATTTGATATTATTATACTTGTAATTATTAATTACAAGCTATATAATATTCCCTTCTGCCAATAAAAATTAGTCTAGTTGATAACGAGTCGGTTCATAAATCGTAATATCGTGAGTTTGAATTTTACTACCGATATGAAGATATTAATAGCAAGCGGTCCGTAAATAATTATGTAAATTTTTTTTTAATCATGGAAATATGTCTTGACTTTGGACAGTGGCCACGTGGGGGGGGGGGACCTTTAAGATAATTGATAAAATTGCAAGGAAAAGTGGCAGCCATGCATGTATACTCTCTGAGTCTCTGTCTAAAGTTATTCACCAATCAGTGAATGTCATGTTTCACGTGGGATGGCCTAAAATGTTTGTTTTCACACCATAAAATGTGAACTTATAAATATATGTCTAGTAATTTACTTCAAATCCGAACATTTTTTAATTTATAATATATATATAGAGTAACTTTTAAAAATTCTAATCCCACATTTTATCCTTAAATACAACTTTATTAACTTTTTCCTTTATGCGCATGCATCTTGGGGTGGCGATATTTGGGCATAACAATCATTTCATTTAATTTAAACCAAACTGAAAATATATATATATGGATAAATTATTTGATGAGACATAGATAAACGAGATTAGTGTATCATCATTAAATAATATATAGAGGCCATCAGGATTAATTAGTTTAACACTACACGACAATCATGCAGAATTTAGGTCCGAGCAGCTAAAGCACAGTGATGTGAACTTACCCTTTTCTTATTATAAAGCAAAAATTAAAATTAAAATTAAAAGCCATGTTCATTCTTTATTTAATTTTTTTTGTCATTTTAAATTATTTTGCTTTCATACGTGTTGAATTGTTCCGTGGTAGCATAAATATACGGCCCCGTTTCTGGTCACCATCAAATCACATTAAATTATGTCAATATGATGCATCAACATAATAAAATATAATAATAATTATTATTATGAGCTGTATGATTCTCGCATCACAAATTATGAATAATATAATCCGTTTGTTGTACTTTGTACAACACAATACAAATCCACCTAATTAAAAATTCTTATGTGACGACAAAAAGAAGATGAATCATTATATTGTCTGTTGATTTTATTAATTATAAGCTAAATGTTGATGCCTTTTGTTTTAATAGTTTGAGGAATATATATATATATATATCATTTTCTGATTTTCATTCATGGAAGAGGACAATAATCGATGTTTCATGATAATATAATATAAAAGAGCCCAAGATGTGAGTGGATCCCTCGTGGTCCCATCGAAGAAAGTGAAGTGTGAAAATGCAGGGAAATGCCCTCGTCTCTGAGGACATCAAATTATTGGATATTTTAGGGCCAGAGGTCCCATGGTAGGAGTAATAATAATTGAACTTTTTTAAAATCTTAATATAATTTATTTCTGATATTTATTTATTTTTTTTAAGGTAATCTTTTTAATAATGGTAGTTCTAACTAACATATTTAATTAATAAGGATATCTTAAGAAAGATAACACTTATTTATTATAAATAACTAATTTAACTTATTTTTTTAGTCTTTTTAAATTAGTCAACCAGTTTTTATAATTAGGATAGGAGGTAGTACCATATTTTGATAAGATTCCTGTAATTTTAGTTTTTAAAATTTAACATTATTTTGGTCTACTTAAAGACTTTTTATCCTCTAGAACAATATTTTTGTTTTCTGAAATAAGGTTTTTAGGAACTAAATTACTGATTTTCAGAAATTAAAACTAGAATGAGATAGGCTAAAGATAGTATTAATCTTATAACTTAATTAAAAGGTGGTTTTTGGGATTTCAGGAAAATAACTAGCTAAAATCAAATCTATATACTCATTTCTGAACCAAGAATATCATTATAATCACAGATCTCTCCCCATTAAGCTTATGCCCAAAAGTTAGGAATCGAAACAGCTAACAACTTGCTTAAATAAAGGATGGGACTTCGTGTTACTTATCAACTTAAATTGGCTTGTAACTCAATCTGCTGTATTCATGAAATTGAGTTTCATATATTTTTATTAATTTCCAATATCTAACACAAGGCGAACACGTTCTTATCAAAAACCGTGTCCTCGATCAAAGTTCGGTTAAAGTAAAAAATATTGGTACTTTTC